CTGTCAGGGTTGGGGGTAGGGGCTGACAAAGGGCAGGGAGGAGACAACCAGGGTGTAACATCCCCCCACTCCCCTCGCCCCTGCCTGGGGAGGGGTACTGCCCTCATGGCCCCCAGGCCCTCATCGCCACCTCTCAGGCCCTCACAGGCCAACTGTGCCTGCTGACTCTGCACTCACAAGGCTCTGCGAACCACTCCTTCGGTTTCGTAGCCATGTGAGGCAGGCTCGTTGTCGGACCCCTTTTATAGATGAGAAAACGAGGGATTGAGGCGTCTGATTTACTTTCACAGGGTGGAGTAGTTCCCATTACAGGTGCCCAGCCTCAGAGATACCGTGAAGGAAGACGTCCAAGTGTCCAGTAATGGTGGAAGCATTGAACTAGAAAAGGTTCTGGGCCAGCACTGAGTGGCAGGGCCGGCAATGAGTGACAGGGCTACGCGACTGAGACCAGGACACATGGGGTACAGCGGCTGGTGAGGACTGATGCCGCCAGAAGTCAGGAGAAGCAAGCAGATCAGAGCGCAGCTGGTCCCCAGGGCTCCGGGAGGCCTCAGCGTAGGGTCCTGGGAGGAAGCCCATCAGGTGGACAGCTCCTTGTTTCTCAGCCTTTTGGCTAAGGGATACAGTGTCTGCCGCCCCCGGCATCTGTGAGCTTCCTGTTTGCACGGACGGACAAGATTAAAAGGAAGAGAAGGACTCTGGCTCGTGTTTAGTCACTTGGGACACACTTCTCCCCTTCCGGTTTATCTTTCCCATGGCTCTTCTCACCCGCTCACGTGACATGTGTCCATATTTATGTCCCTTTCCCATGGAAGCATGGCAGTGTGTGAGCATCTTTGTGGCTTGGATTTCTCCTACCCTGTCCAAACTTCTGGATCCCAGCATCTTCATCCATTCATGGTACTTCGTGATGTTCGATAAACATCTGTTGAATGAATGAGCATGTGGCATGATCTTTATTTAGCACAGGGTCTCTAGGCTCTGTGGGGCACCACCACCAGCTGATTCTGCTTGCCGCATGGCAGCCTTGCCTTCCCTACTACAACTCCTCAGGTACTTGTCCTGCAGCTTAAACAAGCCAGGTAAGTATGTGTGAGGACCCCGGGAGGCAGGCTCGACGTCAGAAGCCAAGTGCTCTGCTTACATGTGAAAAAACAGAAGTCCTAACAATGAACGGATGTGGACATTGGTCGACCCTCTTCCTTTATTAAAGCCGGTAAGAAGAAAACACAATCAAAAGGCAAAGAGGGGCACTTCTTTCTCTCCTACAATGCCTATGATGGTCCCACAGGGCCTGGGGACTCCATTCTGACTCTGGTATAAGGAGGGAGGATTTTACAATCCCCCTCCCATTCGCCTGTCTGAAACTTTTAGTGAGGCTCTCAAGCAATCACGTGTCATGACTTTTATTCTTAAGCAGCTTTCAACTCTGAAGAGAGTGCACACATCAGTCTAAGGTTAACTATTTGCTTTGGGGAGATCTCCCTGGAGCAAAGAGAAGTTCCTGTCTTCCAGAGTGTTTAAAAGGCATTGGTCATCAAAGCTGTCTGGCAAAGCCCTCTGACTTCTGAGTGAAGGCCAGCCGCACCCCTGGTCTGATGTTTGATGGACAGGAGGTTGGCCTTACATTAACCACATGTGACTACAGGAATGTTTGTGTGCAGCTTCTTACTGCCTTCTAATCCAGGTTGTGCCGGCCGGTTTCTGCCTGCTCATAACACCGGGACCACCATCATCTTCTTACACCAGGCTAGCTCTTTGCAGATGTCTTCTCTTTCCTGCCTGCCTGCTTGTGATACAGTATGTGAGCTACAATAGTCCACTTTAAGAAGCCTGGTTCAGGAATGTTGTCATTGATCCCTGCATTCATTACTGCATTCAGCCAAAAAAAAAAAAAAAAAAAAAAACAAATCAAAACCCAAAAGCAAAACCAAAACAACAAACAACAAAACAGATAAAACACAGGATATCTTTGGAGTCTAGGAATCTTTAAATTTTAGTAAAATTTTAATAAAAGAAATTTGGGCTAGGTAAATGACTCAGAGTAAACACCTGCTGTGCAAACTTGAGGATCTGAATTCAAATCCCCAGAACCTACACAATACTCCCCAGAGATGGGAGTATGCTTCTGCAGTCTCGGCACTCCTACGGTGAGACAGCCGGTGGAGACAGAAAACGCACTGGCGGCTCTCGGCCCAGCTAACCCGGCTACACAGCTGTGAACAAGAAGACACCCTGGCACAAATGAAGTAGAAGGTGAGCACTGATGCCCACCGCACATGCACTGTGACATGTGACTATTCATACTCACATGCACGAGTACACACACACACACACACACACACACACACACACACACACATGTCTGCACAATCATCTCCCCACCCCCACACAGAAACAGTCCCTGCCCTCTGGAACATACACTTAGACATTCCTATTATTTCAACACATATTTATTAAGTACTAAGTGCTGAAGAAATAGGAGAGAAACGAGTTTTCATCCTTATGTAGACTATAAGAAAGTAGTGGATAATGCAGATAATTAGCACATAATTGTACGGGGCATTAATTAATCACACTGTGATTACTACAAAGAACTATGAGGACCAAGAGAGTCAATTACAAAGGACAGTGTTGGAGAGTCAATTACCAGGAGCAGGGTTGGCGAATCAATGGGAAAACGAGAGAGCAGACTCAGAAGACAATTCAGTGGGGAAAAATGTCAGAGGCAGCTCTGTATGTCACAGGGCTCAGGTCCAGGAGAGGCAAGACCCACTTAGAAGGTGTACCTCCCTGGAAGCTGGGCAGGGTGAGCAAAGGAGAGAATTAGCCATCTCTCTGGAAAGTGAGAAATGGCTATGTAGAAATAGTTGGAGGCCCTGAAGCCATCCTTACCAACTTGCTTCCTGCTGATCAAGAATATTTACAGTATCGCCAGGTGGTGGTGGCGCACACCTTTAATCCCAGCACTTGGGAGGTAGAGACAGGTGGATCTCTGTGAGTTCGAGGCCAGCCTGGTCTACAGAGCTAGATCCAGGACAGGCTCCAAAGCTACATAGAAACCCTGTCTGAAAAAACAAACACAAGAATATTTACAGTGCCAAGTGTGGTGACGCATGCATTTAATCCCAGCACTCAGGTGGGTATATGGGTTTGAGGCCAGCCTGGTTTATATGGTGAGTTCCAGACTAGCCAGGGCTGCAATAGTGAGCTGTTCTCCCAGGGTAGGGGTGGGGGAGGGAGAATATTTAAATAAGGTGGAGTTCTTCAATTTCCTGGTATTATTGCTGCCTCTACACAGATGAGCAGGCCAGGATCCAGGGCCCTCACCTTGAAATCAGAAGCGCCAGTGTAGCTGAGTGGTGCTTTGGTCCTGGACCTGCCCGTTTCTTTAACTATAGCATTCTTTACTGCCAATCTTTTCTGGGAGTTAGGGGGGAACCCTACAGGTCACACTCCTCAGCCTCATTACTATCACGCAGACAGTTGGTGCCAGAGGGGTGTGTGTGTGTGTGTGTCTGTGTGTGTGTGTGTTTCCGTCCCCATCCTGTCAAGTCTTCTGCAGAGACAAGTTTAGTGAGGGAACTCTCACATACCTGGGACATTCTGGAAATGGACATCTTGGCTCTGTTAAGAGAGACAGGCTCCCCCTGCTGGCCCAGTACTTTAGGTAGGAGGCAAGTGGAACCCATCAGGTGTCCATGAGTTGACCAAGTGAGAGGACTCTGAGGCATGTGCTCCCTCTAAGGACTCCAACAGTTGCCCACACAGAATGAGACTGCAAGGTGGGCTGGGGTCGGGGAGTAAGAAAGAGTAAATGGGCAGGAAGATCAAATACTTAACAGTTTAAGTCTCCATTGCCCTCAACAATATGCAACACAGTCAAGGAAATCCAGGCGGTTACCTTTAAGTTTAGTAACGATCAGTTAAGATGATGAGGCCCAAGGCTTACAGGGAAACAGAATCTCACTGTTGACAACTGTGAACCAGCACGGCCGTCCCGAGGTAATCTGGCCTGACAAGAAGTATTCCTAACACTCTGGGTCTGCTGAGCTTACTCTTGGGAACTTCCTTTGTAAAAACAACTTTTGAAAAAAACTGAAAAGTTATTATTATTAGTTTTTCGAGACAGGGCTTCTTCGTGTAACAGGCCTGGAACTCACTTTGTAGACCAGGCTTCCTTTGCCTCCGGAGTGGAGTGCTGGGATCAAAGGCGTGCGCCACCACCACCCGACTAAGCTACTCACTTTTTTACTGTATGCGCATGGTTGTTTCAATGCCATGTGTAGTTCGCACCACATGCATGCCTGAAAAGGGGCGTTGGATCACAGACAGGTGTGAGCTGCCGTGTGGGTGCTGGGAATTGAACCCGAGCAGTCAGGCTCCCAACTGCTGAGCCATTTCTCCATCCCGGTGAACTCTTGTTTTAAAACCAGGTAGTTTTTTTGTTTTATGACGAGAAAAACCTGCCCAGGAAAGTTGGACATGGAGGCTCATTCCTGTAATCCTAACCCTAGGGAATCTCTGTGAGTTCAAGGTCAGCCTCATCTACATAGGGAGATTCTGTTTTTGAGACCTTGTCTCAAAAGAAAACCCAAAAGTAATAAAAACAGAGGTAAAGAACTAAGAAGAGTTAGTTATGGGTCGGGGAGCGCACTCCCGAGTCCGGCTCCGTCCAGCAGGGGGCGCCCGTGAGAAGGCGGGCGGAAGGTCACTGGCCGTAGAGCCGGGACTCCGGGCGGGCTCCAGAGCCGGGTTACCGCTCAGCCGCCTGCCCGTCCACTGGTGCGCCCGCAGCTCCGGCCGGGAACCAGGGTTCGGACCAGACTCCAGCCCTCCACGAGAGACTCGGCTGCAGCCACAACCACCCGGGTCCGCGCCTGCCCGGAAGCGCGGGCGCCGAGGGGGCGGGGCCTGGAAGCGCTTCCGGGGGCGGGGGGCGCGGGCAGGGGTGGCAGCGGGAGCGGCGGGGAAGGGCCTGGCTCGGGCGGCGGCGGCGGAGGGGGCGCCGCGGGCGGGCGATGTGAGCGCGGCGCGTGGCCCAGGTGAGGTTGGCGGGTCGCGGGCGGAGGTGTCAGGGTCTGGATGACCCGTGGGGCGGCTGTCCGGTTCCTCGTGGGTGAGGCGGGGCGGGCGGGCGAGACGCTGCCTGGCCAGTGCGGGGGCCGGCCGGGCGCGGTCCTGAAGCCCGGGCACTTACCGGAGGCCAGGCGCTTGGCCCCGAGGGGTGAGCCAGGGCAGCTGCCCTGCACCTCTCCAGCCTCCTCTCCCGGGCGCTTCGCTCTCCCTCCTGTACGGAGGGCTCTGAGTGACCGTGGCCCCCGAGAGCCAGTCCCGGCCTGGGGGCGTCGGCGGAGGCTGCCCTGGAACTGCTGTCCCCGGCCACCGCCTGGTGCCAGGTAAACAGGCGGCGCGTGTTAGGCTTGGCCGGGGAGGTCTCCGTGGTCACTCGGGCACAGCTGAGGATGGGCTGGGGAGGGGGCGTGTAAAACACTGCTTGCCTAGGCCAAGTGACTGCTTTGGGGTTACTCACATCTGGGACGCTCCATCTTGAGGTTTTCAGCACGTCTCTTCCATGCTGGGCCTCAGTTTCTCCACGTGAGAATAGAGTTTAGATGAACTCGCTGCAGACCCCTCATGCTGGAATATCTGACATTGTAACGTCTGTGCCTGGTTCGACATGCGGGGCAGTTTTACTGAAGACTGAAGACACCCCACCCCCCCAACTTCCAGATGTAGACTTTTTAACCTCTCCGTGCACTTTGTCCCAGGGAGGTTTAAAATGATTCCCAGAAGCGTTTTCTTGGCCATAGCTTTCGCCGTTCCTTGCTGCCGTCCATAGTTTTCCTGTGAAGCATTTTGCATGCAAGCATTTTGCCGTTTGTATTTGCCCATTTTCTCTTTGTTCCTTAGTCTAGGCTGTTTTTGCTTCACATCTGGATTATTGCAACAGCTTCTTAGCTGGTCTTTGACTCCAGAGGTTTCCCCCTCCCCCATCCTTCCTTTATGCTAACGCCAAACTTAGTATAGGAAGTAAAAAAAAAAAAATAGTTGAGTGCTTGCTTAAATGTCAGAATGCTGTGAGTGGTGGCCGAAAGGAGTCAAAAGCACCCTAATCCCCAACCAAGGCTTTCCACTGGGTGTCCAGACATTGCCTGTGACGAGGTAATGTCCCTGAGACAAGGTTGTGTGCCTTAGAGAGGTAGAGGTGACTAGGGGCGGCGGTGGGGCTTAGCGAGGGGCGGGAGATGACAAGTAGGATTCAGATTAGCGGGGGGAAGAAAGGAACTATGGAGTTAGTGACCCGACCTGCCGCCTGGCTGAGGGCTGTGATGGGAGAGGAGTAAGAGGAAAGATTGATTAGGCTTGGTTCCTGAAAGGTCTTGAACACTAGGCCAAAGTTAAAAGTATTCTAGAGGCAGGTGTATTCCAGCAACGGGGGGAGGGTGTGCCGAGCAGGAGGTGGAAGGAAGAGGCTGGGGGGGGGGGCTGTGCCAGTTAGACCACCGTTCACAGCTGACGTGTCCAGTTTGCTTTGTGGTGTCTTTCGATTGCCCCCCCCGCCCCCGTTCAAGGGTCTTTTACCCGAACCTGACTTTCCCTGGCCTCTGCTTCTGCGAGTTTGCCCAGGTTCTGGCTACCTCTGGGCCGTTGTTCCAGCCCTCTGAGAACACTCTCCATTTCACTTCCTTCAAGCCCCTGCTGAAGATATACTTCCTCCAAAGGGTGTTCCCTCGACGCCCTACCCCCATGCCTTTGTGGCACTGGGACTCTGCAGCAAGCTTCCTTGGTTGTTGCTGAGCTTGTCTTGGCCCAGCTGAAGCAGGAGTTTTGTTTGAAGACACAGAATGTGAATGCTTCTTTCAGAGTCTTCTGCTACCTGATGCTGGAACCGGGATTTTGATACTAGGTCCTCAAATAGTTCCTGATTTTTGTTGGTAAACAACTTTTTTTTTCCTTAAAGGAGAAGCTTTCTCTGTCCTCTGTAACTACTGGTATTTAATACTGAAATCCCAGGTGGAATTTTTCAATTTTATTCTCAGATGCAGAAAGAACAGAAAAAATTCTGTGAAATGTTAGTGTTTATTTCTGATCTCAGGGAAAGAAAAAAAAGTGTGTTGAGACAGGGTTTCTCTGTGTAACAACCCTGGTTGTCCTGGAACTCACTCTGTAGACCAGGCTGGCCTCGAACTCACAGAGATCCTCCTGCCTCTGCCTTCCCAGTGCTAAGATTAAAGGTGTGTGCCACCACTGCCCAGCTCTAAAATATTAATTCTTAAGTCTAAGGCTGTGGGAAAAGAGAGTGGGGTCTGGGATCAGGTCTGGACTTGAATCTCAGCACAGCCACTCAGTAGCCATGCAAAGCTGAATGATTTACCACGTTCTCTGAGCCTGCCTTTTCTTTCCTTCTCCTCCTTTTCTTTTCTTCTGGTGCTGAAGACTTAGCCCAGGGCCTCACACATACGAGGCAAATGCTCTACTACTGAGTTACACCCCCAGCTTGAGCCTGCCTCTTCTTCTTGTAATGTGAAATAAAGTCTGCATTGTAGGGTTGTTACAGGTGCGCGTGCACTAGCGCCAGGGACCCTTCTCCACTGCTCTCCACCACCTCCGCTTTCATCTCTTGAGCTGGGTTCTCTCACTCTTCAGCCAAACTGGTTAGCCAGCAAGCGCCAGAGATTCTTCTGTCTCTGCCTCGCCAGTGCTGGGATTGCACAGCATGAGCCTCTGTGCGTGGCATTTTACATGGTGCTGAGAATCCAAGCCCTCATGCTCGCATGGTAAGCACTTTACAAGCCAAGGCCTCTCCACAGCCTCTGGAGTTTTCATGACGATGGCACACAAAGGAGGCAGCAAAACTTAGGGACTGCTGAAGCTATCAGGTGTGGTGTGTCAGAGTGGAGGGGAGATGGGCTAGCCTGGGACATGTTTCTGTCCTGCCGTCCAGGTGAAGCAAGAATGTCAGGTGTTGAGACCCAGAGTCCCGTCATTTATAGTTCCACTAATTTTCATGTCACTTTAGTTGAAATTCTGTTTCATGCTTTCGGACTTATTAATTGTGTCCATTTAATGTTTTGTAGCTGACAAACTGCTGAATTTAGCTTAGTGAAGGTCACCAACTGAGCGCAGTTAGGCTTCTAATGGTTATTTTCTGTTGATGTTGCTGGCATGGAAAGCACCCTGGAAGAATGCAGTTCAAGGTGAGCCTTTCTAACCCGTTTGTTCTAAGAGGTGGGACGCGTGTGTTTTCTAGCTCTCCGGAAAAGCCAGCCGTGAGTAAGTAAGCTGCTGCGCCTTGGTTTAGACGGAGGTCTTGCCTTAAGGAAGCTTACTCCTGCCTGCAACATCCTTTCAGCTCATGACTCAAATGTGAGATTTGACCAGGGACAGTGCTGCAAAAAGCTCTGGTGCCTTATTGGGGAGGCTGGGACAGGAGGTCGCTGAACTCACGAGTTTGAATCCAAACCTGGGTAACAGACCAAAACCCTATCTTTAGAAAAAAGCAAAGATTTCGAAACACTTTTTGGGGCTTACTTTACGGACAGAATAAAAACAATGGGCATTTCACAGAGTTTGAAAACCATTTGAAGTGTTTGACCAGTTTGACATCATGGCCCCTTGCCACTGTGTCAGACCAGCTGGCTTTGTATAGGAGGACATCTTGATGGAATTTGTTTTGCCACTTGAAGTTGGTCATGAAGATTAGCACCAAGAAAAGCTACACGCCGCAGCAGGATGCCCAAGTGAAAGTCCTCTTCCTTCTGAGAGGTGTGTACTTTAGCTCTGGAGACTGACAAATGCGGTTTAAGGTCCTTGTCTCTTGGAGTGTGTCTCCTCATCTGTACAGTGGGGATGGTTGCAACATCTGTGTCTGCTGCCAGGAAGAGCTCCCTCTGCTCAGTGTGCACAGCAGGGGCTAAGAGCAGCCGGTCCTCACTGTGGCTGGTGAGGTTGAAGCCACCATTCCTCTCCTGCTTGGAAAGCTCAGAAGCGGCTTCCAGTGTTGTGCATTGACTAAGACAAATCACACCCTCCCCAAATTAGTGTATCTGGGCAGACCTGGAGAGTGTTAGCGCCTCGCTCAGAAATGTAACAGTTCGGATAAAAATGTTCTCTCACATGAATTAATGCAGTAAGAACTCTAAACTTGTTTTCCTTTAAATTAGGAAGCGCCCTTCATGAATATCCATCACAGAATGCCATTTCCTCCCTGGTTTTTTTTCCTTGCATTGAGTTTCACCAGCATCACAATGCTTCCTGCAGCCCTGCTGCTCATCGGGCTTGCTGCAAGCCTGGGTTTGAAATCACAAGTGTCTTGACTGGGAATAATGATTCTTTCTAGTACCTCAAGTGCTTCCAAATTTGTCACCTTCCTTTCTTTTCTTGGAAGTGTAACTGGGCACTTTTAAAGGAGGCATAGCGTCTCCTGAGGCTACAGTGTTCCAGGTGAATGGAGTCAGCCACCTTGGAGATTTTGCCTCCTGTCTTGTCTGTTCTGCACCTCCAGGGTCTTCAGCAGGACAGTCTGAGTGCTGAGGCTACAGCTGTGCTGGCAGTCCAGAGGTCTTGAGTTACCTGCTTGCTTTAGGATACATCAGCTGACCCACACTGAAAGCCTCCTGTGAGGTCCCTGCCTAAGCGCATCTGCTTGTGAGACAACTCCCATTGCTTGGTCTCTGCTTTGTTCTGGTTGTCATGGGGAGATCGTTCTGAGGCTCCACCCATGGTCATTGTGGAGGGGACGTTAGGCCCACGTGTGTTGTTTTGTCCAGATGACATTTAGGAGTCCCTTGTTAGTAGGCTTTCTGTGACACAGGTTGTAGTGTACAAGGGTGTTAGCAACTTTTTGTGTTTGTTTTCCTCAACATGTAATGTTAGGCATGGTGATGGATTTTTTGTTTGTTTGTTTTTCCGAGACAGGGTTTCTCTGTATTGTTTTGGAGGCTGTCCTGGAACTTGCTGTAGCCCAGGCTGGCCTCGAACTCACAGAGATCCTCCTGCCTCTGCCTCTCGAGTGCTGGGATTAAAGGTGTGCGCCACCAAC